ATCCGTTCTAGCGTGGAGGACAGGGAGGCAGCTATTGCTTGGAGGGAGAGTCCCCCTCCCTACGAACACGTGTCCAGGGCGGAAAATGGACGTAGACCACGTGTCAAGGGCGGAAAATGGCCGTAGACCACGTGTCAGGGGCAGAAAAATGGCCGCGGACCACGTGTCAGGGGCGGAAAAATGGCCGCGGACCACGTGTCGGGCGGAAAATGGCCGCAGACCACGTGTCAGGGGTGGAAAAATGGCCGCGGACCGTGTCACGGGAGGTAAAATGGCCGCATATCCTGTTTGTACCCCGAGGCGGAGTTCGCAAACCGAGGTAAATTTTTGCAGCCGGAGCTGGTCGTAACCCGAAAAGTTTGTTAACAGAGGCGTTCATAACCCGAGGTACCACTGTATATAGTGTTCGTAATAGCTGATGTGCTTTGAAAAGTTAGTTGGGGCAAGGCAGATTTTCTCCACTATCTTTTTGCAAAATATGTCCGTTTTTTAAAAAATATTCAAACACAGAGTTAAAATCATGAAACATTTTGCTCTCATTTATGAGCACAGCTATTTTTTTTTTTTAAAAAACCTCCAAAGTAATAACAACTTAATCCTTTTAATGGGATTAAGTCAAACATCACAAAACATTAGACAGGTTTTTGAGTCCATCAGAACACTCTACAATACTAAATGTAATCCCACAAAGAGGAGCAGCAAAGAAGATAGGTCTGGTGAATACCACAGAGAATCTCAGCCTACACATTATAGCATTTATACACCATGATCCTATAAATGTTTACTCAAAGGTATAACTAAACTGAGTGAGCTTTTACACTGTAAGAGTTGTTAAGATTGTAGTCTTAATGGAAAATATGTTCTACAGATTTAATTAGCTTACCCATATTGTGCAGAAAGTTTATTGGTTACAGTAAGGTTTAATGGATTGAACCACGGATGCTCTCATTTCAGAAATATTCATGTAGTTAGCAAAAAAGAGTTCAGCTAATATCATCCTCAACATAAGGAGTGGGACTTCAAGCTAGTCTAAAACATGATTAGATTATCCTGAAGCATGTGATCCCTCTCTTCCCCAAAGAAGACTGGAATGGCAATTGAGCTATTATTTTCCTCTGACACTTTTCTATGACATTAGAGAACACATCGGTCAAATTATAAGCACATTTGCTTTGCACGTGTGTCCTCCTTGATTATAATGGAATGTACTGCCAAGTTAAGTGTGCTTATGAATGTAGAGTAATTTATTTAATTTTTGCTAACTGAATTTATCAGTTCATTTTCCAGCCATTTGCAGAAAAGTGGAATAAGAATGAAGTGAATAAATGAAGATAAACTATAATTGCGCATTCTCATTGGGCTGTGAAAATTACTGTGGAGTTTGGTCATATTGTTTTATAGAGTAGCTAAGTTTTACTTTAGTTTAGTTGTAACCTGGTTGATGACCATAATAAAATTATTATTTATCTAAAATTTCTAGACAAAGGTTCAGTGGACATGATTTCCTAATGGTTGTTGACTTTCACTCTTGATTAGTCAATAACTGTATACAGTAGACATTTGCATGAAGTAAATAAAATGCAATAGTTATCTTGACTTATAACAGTGACCATAAATTACCCGCAAAGTAGAATCAAAGGAACTCTCAAGTAGACTTAGAAGTCTAATAGGAAAGGATGTGACCAACCAGCTACATTGATCTCAGGTTATTTTAGGATCTGTAGTTAATTCCAAAGATAACCTATATCTTCATACATCATATTAAAGCATAATGTAGCTTGTTTGGTTTTAGCTTAGGGTGTAGTGTGAACCCAGCCATTGTGGTTAGGAAGTTTGGTTCCCAACTCAGTATCAGGTACAAATCCAGCCACTTATGGTTAATTTAACAAAGCATGGTTAAATCACAGTTTAGTGCAATGTGTGACTCAGACCTCTGGGTTGCTTAGCTGTTACACATAGAAATATTAAGTGCAATAACTTTGCTATGTGTTGGCTTCTACTGTGAAAGGTCTTATTGGTATTGTATATAAATAATAAAATATTTTGTCACAAACGTTATCCCTTCTGCATTTAATGGAGCTTCTAGGATGTGTCTGCCAATGAATGTCTGGTGGAACTGTTTTCTTGCATTGCTTTTCCTTCTAATTTGGTGTTGCTTGTTCAAAAAAGGGAGGCCAGGAAACATGTGTTGGGTCATCAGGAAATACTATGGTCTGACTTGATAATGTTAGTTCCAAGATTTAGTCTTACTTAATCTGTCTTTAGACCAATAGGCTTAAAGACAATCGCAACTAATTTAATTTCCATGCATTCTAAAGGGACACTCAAAGTACACCTAATCTGGAACCAATCCGCAGTATCAAGTGGGCATATCACAGACATTGCAGCTTGGTTTTGGAGTTTTCTAACTGGGAATATAGTTTAATGAAGCTTGAACATGTTCAACTGAAGCCTATGTAGTTGTGAAATTGCTAGTGGGAAGTGACGTTCATTAAATGCAGTGGGACTGCAGTGGGGAATACATCCTTTTGCTGGGAATATGTTTCCCATCCCCTAACAATCATGCCACTGGGGGAATTGCCATCCCACAGTTACTAAGAGGCGGCATTGAGGCCTTTCATGGCAGAAAGGAAAAGCACGAAGAAGTGAGAGCTAGAACCTTTCAATCTCAGGGTAAGATTGGCTCAGGGTAGGAGTAGCATTTTTCTACAAAGGCACACCAGAGTAAACATGAAGCCGCCACTGCATTGCCCTCTTTCCATTGCTCGTCTACCTGTAGATTCCAGTTCTGCAACAGATTCTATTTGGGATTGGACTAGGTCAGAATGGATGGAAGACACTCACAGAGCCTTCCTAGTTGGAATGATCTTCTCCCTTGTCTCAAAGAGATGTAATTGTGTGTATGAGTTGATGGCTAGTTGGAATGATCTTGAGCATATTATGGCTCACTTCTTCAATGGGATGTATTTCTTATCAATAATTATTGGACTTCCCATTAGCAGAGAGTATGGTCTGTAGAACCTAGGCTCTTTTTGTTGCTTTTTTGTGGTGTACTGAAACCTCTTAAAAAGAAAATTGCATGGTGTGTGGACTCAACAGTGCATGTTTGCATACTGGCGGCCACGGTTTGCCCCTAATCTTTTACCGGAGCTTGCGTACGTTCTTCTTCTGTATAGTTTGAGCATTGCCGAAGTTTTCTAAGGAATGCATTCAACAGGGATACTTCTTTGCTAACGTCTGAGCAGACAGAGTCTCTGGACTGCATATTTGGACACCAGCTGTAATGGAATGCAGAATGGATCTTATTAATTCATATTTGTTGGAGAAAAAAAAATCCAAACAAAGGATGGAATGGAGGGGAGCCCTTGTGCATGTTTGGTGGATCAAATACTGTCTGTTGTGTTGTCCTCAGTTTACCAACTGAAAATCAGAGAGCCATTGTTGTGTGCTTTTTCTCTTTGATGTTGCAGCCAGGGATATTCTTTCTTAGCTTAATTATTGTAAAATAATTATTAAGATATATATATATATATATGCATTCATCCCATTCTACTACAGTCATGTCATGACTAGAGAGAACTGGAAGAATGAATCTAGCCTTACCTAACCTGTCACCATCCAGTCTGCCCCAATCTGATACTAGAAAATCCAGCATCATGCTACAAAGTTCTTGTTTGGAGAAGATCTAATCCAACCCCCTTCAGCAAGTGTGTGATACCAGCAGGAAGGAAAGGGTCAGAATTCAGAGTCCTCAAAACTAAATTCAAGCAAAGTCTCAAGTTGTAAGTGAAGCAGCCTCAAGATGTTCTACTAGAAAACTCGAATGATTCCAAGATGGCAAATGGTACTCTAAGCAGCAGCAAAATCCATCCCAAGAGATTCATTTTCCCCCTGAAATGCTAATGTGTAAACTTTAGCAATTGGCCAGCAAATGCAAAGAACCTTACATGACTGATGCTTCAGAGTTATCTCTAGCTTTTTAGTATCACAACTTGCCTTTTAAAAGGTACACTGGACAGTTAAGAAGACTGTTGTGGGGGCACTACAGGTAGTCCCCAATTTAAGAACAAGTTCCGTTCCCAAAGTCTGTCTTTAAGTCGAATTTGTATGTAAGCCGGAACAGTATTATTGTATAATACTGTATAAATAGTATTGTTTAATGAACTTGAACCATTGTGTATTTAACTCAAATTTTGCTACAGTAGGCTCTGTTCTTAACTATGGGTTGTCTGTAAACGAGCTGTTCTTAACCCGAGGACTACCTGTATATGTTATCGGCCAGGCTTAGATCAAGAGGATGAAAGTTACAGCTATACAGTGAAAGAACCATGTGCTAGGAAATGGAAGTAAAGCTAGATGGTTAGACTAGAATGGAATATGTACATAGCAGTACGGATGGTCCTTGACCACCAACAGGCCAATGTTAGACATGCCTACTCACCTTCAGTGGACTGTGTTCCCAGGTCAGTACGTGTAGGATTGCAGTTGTAGAGATATATGCACAAAAGCACATTGGCGCGCTCATTATATAGCTAAATCAACTGCAGTAACTAGTAGGGTGGCCGGATATAATGTCAAATATGTTCAGTCCCCCACCAGCAGTTCATGCAAAGGTGGGCTGTTCTAATGGATTCTTTCAATTTTAGTGGTTATCTTCAGCTTAGATAGGTTCTCTCTTGGTCGGTCTGTCTCAAACTGTGTGGAGGGGAGGGGGTGATTGCAAATGTCTGGTGGGCTTCTGCAAACTGGTTGTTGTTGTATTTTCTTTTTTCTTCCTTCCCCTTTTGATTTTAAACTAACCACAAACAATACATGACTCTATGAAAATGGTATCCTGTATTCCGTTGGGTCATCCTGACAGCCGGAGAACCTGCTTTTGGCCAGCAAATGCAAAGGAGCAGCGGTGAAATTGGCAGATTTTGGCTTGGCAATTGAGGTGCAAGGAGACCAGCAGGCCTGGTTTGGTGAGTGCTGGGTGGCACTACGCTCCCTTCCTTTTTTTTTTATTTGCTTGGTGGACCCAGATCGTTGTGTGAACACACATATGTTGGCAATTTTTGCTTTGTTCCTCAGGCTTTGCAGGTACTCCTGGCTATCTTTCTCCAGAAGTTCTACGCAAAGAAGCTTACGGGAAACCTGTGGATATCTGGGCATGTGGTAAGAGGGAGCTGCATGACACTTCGGTATCAGAGTGGGCCCATAGAGTTGCAGTGGGGTCTTCCCATTTAGCCCATGGCTCAGCACCCCACTGCAGAGCAGCCCACGAAAGTTGGTGTGTCACCCTCAAAACTGTGATATGCTCTAGAAGACAGTTCTGTAGAGCAAGTCGTTTGGATACAGATTAAACATGCAATTATTTATTAATACAGGTAGTCCTTGATTTAGAACCATTCGTTCTAAACTTCTGAAACCATCTGAACTTCGTTCAGCAACTGTTCGAAGTTACGACGGCACTGAACAAAGGGACTTACAACAGGTTCCCAAAGTTACTGCTGTTGCAGTGCCCCTGCAGTCATGAGATCAAATTTGGGCGCTTGGCAGCCCACCCACACTTACGACTGCAGGGGCACTTCAGCTCCCCTGCCCATCTGTCTCTCCTCCATCTATGCCCTTTTGGTCCCCTGCACTCTGAGGCCCCTGCTGCCCTGCACTCCACCACTCTAGCTGACCTTCACCATCTTCTTGCTCCCGCTGCTGACAAGGTGTGCCCACCTTGGCCCTTCACGAGGTGGCTGCTGGCCGCACGAGGCTTTCTTCCCAAGATCATGAACAGCGGTTTCCTTACGAGACCTGGGGAAGATGGCCTCATGTGGCCAGCAGCTGCCTCACAAAAGGCCAGGGTGGGCATGCCTTGTCAGCAGCAGGAGCAAGAAGATGGCAAGGGTCAGCTAGGGCTGCAGAGTGCAGGGTGGCAAGGGCAATTGGGACTGAGCTGGGGTGGCTAGGTCATGGCAGCTTTCCACCATGCTGTTGGGACTTCCCGGAGTGCGGCAGCTTTGCACCACGATGCTGGGCCGGGCTGGGCTTTGCGTGGCACAAAGGGGCTTCCTGGCGTGCCACAGCTCTGGGTCTACAAAAAGCTTGTACCCCCAAAGCCACGGTGCACCAAGGAGCCCCTGAGCCACAGCATATTCTTTCCCCAGCCTTCCTGAGCTCATGCTGCACTGCAGCATGCCTCTCCTCCAACTTGTGTGTGGGCTGCACCAGCCCTCCCAGGCTTCCCCACCTGTGGCACCCCCATGCTCCTTACCTGGGACTCCCGCCCTTTCCTGCTTAACAACACACGTGCCTTGGAGTTACGACAGCAGCCAGGACTGCCTGGGATTGCCGTTGCTAACCAATGCGGTCATGTGATGTCACGCTTTACAACTGCATCACTTAGTGACAGAAATTCCAGTCCCAGTTGTGGTTGTAAGTTGAACACTACCTGTATATCTATGCATTTATGTTCCTCCTTACAGAATTTTCAAGGTGGCCCACAGCAAAAAAGCAATAAACACTAAATTTAGCACTAATATGAGCAAAATAGTAAAAGTTGAATGATGACATTCAGTTCTGTACTGCTGCCAAGAAAATTACATGGGTGTGCCTATGTGGTTATCCGAAGCTGTGCTTGACTGGATAGAGAATATAAAACCTTACCATTGCTGGTAGCAGGGATGTAGCATAGTGTGGTCGAAATGGTGGACATGGCCACAGCAGTCCAATCGAAGTTCCACCTGCCACACACACAACACCCAGACAACCGCACCATCATGGCTGACTTTTTTTTTTTTAAACTTTGGCCTGTGGACACCCCTGGCTGGAAGGATCTGGCTCCAGGTCTTCACCTTCTGCTGAAGACCAGTGAACAATCTAGATGGGATATGCCTATCAAGTGCTTTTGCTTACAGAGTTGTCCCATTCACTATTGACCTCCCCTGTGTGCATGTGCAGGCGCACACACACACACACACACACACACACACTTTTCTAGTAAAGAAGTAGCCTGCAACTCCTGATGCTCTTGCCCACAATTTGGAAATCTATTGTAGATTGCAAGATGAGGACCAGAAATAGTCTGCTAGCTTCCTTGCTTGCTTTTTCTCCACCCCCAAATCAGGATGAATACAGTATGCAACTCAAGATTTGGATCTGTTCACTTATTTAATTCAGTTTAGATTACTGCTGATTGATTAGTCAAGCAACCATATCAAGTTATAACACATCATTTGCTTGCTTCTAAATTTGCTCTTGTTCCATTCGTTTCCTCAGGTGTTATTCTTTACATCTTACTGGTGGGTTATCCTCCTTTTTGGGATGAGGATCAGCACAAGCTGTACCAACAGATTAAGGCTGGTGCCTACGATGTGAGCAGTGATTTTGCTTGTTTCCTCTCTTGCTTATAACCTGCTGAGTTTCATTAGAATGCTAATGGCGCAAAGGAAAAAGTTCAGAATTTGCTTTTCTGAAAATCAATAATTGGGCTAATTTTAAGTCCCCCAGCAGATGAACTCCTTGGGACTGTGAGAATGCTTAAGAGCACTGGCTAATTTTAAAAAGGGCCAAAGTGGTGCTTTATGGGCATTCGTCTCATTGTTCAATCTATAGCTGTCAAGAGAGATAACCTGGGTTTACACATCATAGTAAGCCCTAATATGCTGCGTGCATGCAACCAATTATATATGAAATAAATAAATCACGGCCTAGAGTAATATGTCCATGGAATCCGATGAGGGGTTGAATGCAGGCTTATCACCGGGCAACTTCATGCAGAGTATGACCACATTGAGGAGACTAACAGTGCAGATACATGACAGAGAGGCAGTGTGGAGGAGAGCTGGAAACTGGGTTGCTGACAGCTGGAAGGGATCAGCCAGAGTGAGATGGCATATATACAGTAGAAGAGTTTATTTATGTCACTTTCCTAGGGACGTTTGCTTGAGCAGCACCAGTCAAAATTCTGTTGTGGAAACCTATACTTAAATCAGTGCAAAAAACTAATGACCTCTTCTACACATTCAGGTGGCTACTTTAAAAAAACCCCAGTTGGAGTCTGGCAGTATCAAAAATAAAATAAATAGATAAATAGATAGCCTTGGACTAGTTGCAGCAGGACTGGTACTGAGCAATGGTATTTCTCTTCCTGTGCTTATAGAGCGCAGCTTCTATTAACTGAGAGCAGAGGTCCATAGCCAGAAGCCCCCAGATTCCAGGAATTCCCCAAAACTTTGAGTGCTCTCCACATCTGACCCCCAAATTGTAATGCTTTTAAATGCATGGAGAGCAGTCGTGTTACCTGTGCTAAATTACCCCGAAATTAAATTAGATCAGGTTTACTTTTTGTCCTGCCCCTACAAATCATGCACTGGCCGAGAGATGCTCTCCACCTAGGAAATGTTATGCAACTGTGATTTAGCTTAATAACACTTTTTTTTTCTGTATGGGAGGAAAAAATTTATATAGGCCAAGTGTCTTTTCTCCAGTAGAAATAGCTTAATGGCAGGGAGTCCTATCCACACCTCTGCTCTAATCCTATTCACATTCATTCCCCCAACACGTACACACACAAATCAGAGAGAGAAGAGACTTCACGTCGATCTGCCTTTACACACCGTTTGGTTCTGTGCAAAAGCAGAACTGGCCAAATGTTTTTTTAAACGCGTGTTTCAAAATTCTTTGCTATGTTCATAAAATCGATAGCTTTTTTTCCAGCAAGCATCAGCAGGACTAAACAAAGTTTTTAAAGATATTGCTGAAGGTAATACAGTGATTCAACTGGATTAATTGCATACGTACTTTTTTTTTTTTTTGGTAGTGTCTATAACTTAATGTCTAGTATGTAATTTTAAGAGCAATTTGTGGATGAAATCATGGCTAGTTCTCAGACTTCCACTGATGTATTTGTGTTACCCTAGGCATTTTTATTAGAAGTATTAACCTGATAGATCGGTGAAGACCCTCTTCTTTTAATACTAACATTGTCTTCCTACAATATCTTCTTCCCTTAGTTTCCTTCCCCTGAATGGGACACAGTCACTCCTGAAGCAAAAAACCTCATAAACCAGATGCTAACCATCAATCCTGCAAAGAGAATCACAGCACATGAAGCTCTGAAACATCCATGGGTCTGTGTAAGTGTCACTGCGGCTTCCTTCTGGCTTAGATTCAACCTATCTGCTCCAACACTGTTAAAGAAACCCCAAGTCTCCTTGTTTATTTCCCTTAGAGATTCTAATATTTACACCTTCCAAGACAAGATATTAGCAAAACAATAATAAGCATTCCAAAAAGCTTTCATGAGTATACAGTACCTACACTAAGCAGACGTTTTCAAGTAACCTTGTTTATAAAACTGCTGTCAACTTGTGTTTTGAATGTTCTACGGCAAGTTGACTAAAAGAGCTACAAATAAGGGGTCATACTCAGATGGGGATGATCCAAGAAGACTTTCCATGTGAGCCAGAAGGCGGACCACTGCTGCTCTCCTCCTGTACAGTCTGTCTGGAGGACCTTGTTGCTAGTGGCAGCGATGTTACCACTTCCTCTCCAAGAAGCTGTTCTTGGAGAACACATGTTACTTCAGGGGATCTGCAGAGCAGTGAGTCATGAGGTGCTGTGGAAATTGCCTGGGTAGGCAGATACTACAGTCACCTTTCCATAGATTGCTTCAAGGACCTCCTTAGAGCAGCACACTTAATATGGCTGACTAATGCCTAAGCTAATTTAGGGACCTGCATGTACTAAATGCAACAAAGCAGGTCAGGAAGGCAGCAGGTTCTATCCCCGTTTCTGTCAGGTTCAGCCCAAAGAACTCCACGAGACAATGCAAATACAGTTCTGTTGCGT